GGTGAAAAAGGGTTATACAGGAAATAAACGACTCAATTCCTCAAAACCTTCCCCATGGATATTTAATTGTTGACAGACAGATATAATTGTGAAAAGTTACGACATGTTTCGATTGTTAATCATCTTCAGATAACAAATTATAAGTACGGTGTGTGAGAAAAATTACATTATTGAAAAGTTTTTCTCACACACCATTATAATTTGTTACCTGAAGATGATTAACAATCGAAACATGTCGTAACTTTTCACAATTATATCTGTCTGTCAACAATTAAATATCCATGGGGAAGGTTTTGAGGAATTGAGTCGTTTATTTCCTGTATCATCACCCCATTTAGAGAATGGATCAACCACGAGTTTTTTCTGAATAAGGGTTATTTGTGTTTTATATGTACGAGTATATACAGTGAGTTTTTTTTAAATGCGAACATAGGAGTTTGTATGCAATGTAATTTCCCTATGGTCGATTTAAAAAAAAACACATCAACCTATGAGATGTGCGCGGTTCACATTCCCAAAACGCGCAATTTGTGTGACTATGAACAGCAACTCATAGTCTTTATGATAAAGAGCACTCAGTAAGATTCTTTTAAATAAGCCATGTGAGGCCATAGCAACTTTAGGATAAATTTTTCTTAAACTTACGATAACTTGACTTCACATGACACGCGCTGACATCACAATTCATTGTGAACCAACCTTCAATTATTTGTAGGTCATGTGCACCTGGTATTCTACTAATTTGATTTATTCAATACATAAAGGAAGAAAATAAGAAAATAAATAACGCAAACAATTACAATAAATGTTCGAAGTGTCCTCCTTGACATTCTAAGCAATTACCTAACCGATTTCGTAATTAAATTGGACGGCAGTATTTTTAAAAATGTGACAGCTGTCAATTGTATCTACTACTCCTTTGAACTACTCAATAGATTGATGTGTTTTTTTTTTAATCAAACATAGGGAAATTACATTGCATACAAACCCCTATGTTCGCATTTAAAAAAAATGCACAGGTTTCACTTTCCGTGAATTTCCAATATTACGGCGGTTTTTTAAAATATGAGCAAGGATTAATCCAGAACGATAGCGTGAGGTGTATTTGGTTTTGGGCCGTGATAGAGCTCAAGTCTCGATTCGATTTTGAGTCGTCGTAGAGCTCACTGCCGGTACCCAACAGAGAAGCATTCGGTCTCAACCCACAACAAAGTCATGTAAGCAGTCCAGAATAAGAATTTTTGTCGGGGAATTTTAACAGTTGTTTTGAACGAACGCGAATATTACACAAAGTTGTCGATCAACAATAAGTGAAATACCGGAAGCAGAATAATTACAACCCGATTTAACTTAAACCATGATCAAGTGTCGTCCACCAAGTTGCTCAGCGTCTTGAAATGGTTCAAAAGAAATTATACTGTTGTGTAAACAACGTCTTGTAGACGTTATTTAGATCTAAATAACGAAACTAATGACGACACACCCTGTATATGAGGAGTTGTTCTGTTTAGTAGAGTAAAGCGGGGGGGGGGGGGGGGGTACACACAAATCCTGACTGTATTGTATTGCATTACTACAATGGTTGCCTTGCCATGTTTTTAAGCTACGCTTAAGCTAAGCAGGGCTTAAATTTGTCGGTGCAAACGGCCATTAATTGCACAACTTTTCCTTAATTTGACCATCGTATCATTTATGGTTTCGGAGATCCCCATGATACACAGCGTATATAAGATACTGTAAATGTTTTGCTTGATTTGTATAAACTTAATCTTAAATCTTAAAAGGGGTCAATCTGTATAAATTTACTGATTGGCACGGCCCTATTTTTCGTTAAATTATTAGGTGTGAAGTCATTTAACAAGGATTTGATTTTCTTTACCTTTGAGGTTGGTTTAGTCAGTTTCAGAAAGAATTTCCATGTAAATGGGTTCAAATTTGTTAATCAAAAGAGGTGTATGCTTTGTGGAAAAACTGATGTACTTTTTGTCTTGGTAACGTGGAATTTGGATATATGCAATATTAATGTCTTTCGTCGTAATTCAAAATAAAGTTTACACTTCGATTTTCATGATTTCAAGAAAAAGGAATTACAGTTAAATTCACTGTAGAGCGTTTTGGATTTTTCTTGGAAACGGTAGGGATATTTTGAACAGTATAAACGACCGCGTAAAATTTCATATGTACCGTTTCGTACGAATAGTAATCGAGAATCGGTTTATCGATGACAGTCAGGAGCGTTTGGAAAGCTTTGGTTGTGCGATAATAGCAGCGGGCCGTCAAATTTGCGTTGGTTCATAGTGTAGCGGCAACGAAAGTATATATGAATATGGGCATACGGTAGGTGGATAATAGACGCGAGTCGTCATGTTTGCGTTGGTTCCGTTTACTAGTTGCAACACGGTAATAATGGGAAAGAGAAAAGCAGGGCAGAGAGACACGCAGAGGCCGTGATATCATGTAGTTCGTCTACGAGAATTTTAATTACGAAAGAAGCAAAGTAATTTAGAAAAAATTATCAAAGGCGTAGTGTAAGATCGGAGGGACCCCAGCGCATTTTTCTGAGATCAGTATTCTATTTGACTTAATCAATAAGATCTTGTCAGAGACTACCACATTCCCTTTGGCGGACCCACTTCCGACGTCCCGTTCGACCGCAATTCGCGTTTGAAGCTTTCACTCCACCACCAGTAAGATCTTGTCTGGGACTACCGCATTTCTAATTCGCATTTTGGTGGATTTCAAAGCAAACCAACTTCATTGCAGTAAGCGCATTTTTAATTCGCAATAGTAATTCGCAACGACGTACTCATCACGTTGCATTTTCGTGAGAGCGGCACATGAGTTGTTTTCTATCGTAGACTTTAGTGACGGCAAATTAATTTCGTTTTACAATCGCACAAACTACAACAGAGAAGTGCGTTAATACGAAGTAAAATACTCTCGAAGTGCACTACGTATTTCAAGCCCCGCATAAATTGAACTTTAAACTCAGTAGTATTTAATCCATTATCGACAAAGATAAACCTTAATCTAAGAAACGCTGAGATATGTAGTATCAAGTCAGTACGGAACTCTCTTCAATCTGGGCAGATCGTAAGGTACATATTTTAGACCATTGTCTTATACACCATGAATACGGGCCTTGGCGACTTCTATGGAGATTGATGTCACCTCAGGCTAAGACTCATTAGCAGGGATTGTAAAATTGGTGATTCTACTCTATTTCAAACGTCGTGAATTAAGTATATTAAGGGTATCACACCAAGTTTAGTTTGTTGTCAAATAGCTAATTTTGTTTATATTGGTTTAAGCAATTCAAGTTCTAAAAAAGACTCCTTAAGAGATTACGACCACGTGTAAATATTTAATTAGCAAAAAAGGTTTCTATTTTGTGTAGTTTAATAGAACATAACTAGAGTGAAGAAGGATTATTTATTCTTTGTCATATTAGAATTCAGTTTACAAACCTACACCCATTTAAGTGGACGAATGTATTAGTATCTTAGAACATTACTAAATTTTCGACGTAGTTAAAAGCCAAGATGATTATAAAACGAAGATCAGTTTAGATGTAAAAGTGATCAGTTAGGGAACAGATTTATTTAATGAGCTTTTATGTTATATTATATTATACCAGTGAGAGTAACAAAGTAAGATTTAAAATATTCGATTCGATTGAGCTAGTCGGTGCAACCCATATTTCGATAAATCATAAGCAATCAGTGTATGACCCCCTTACATTTTGACACTTAAACGATCGCTTTTTAAAAAAGGTGATATCATTGAAAAGCCTATAAAATTTGATAATTATTGATACACCCTGTACAATTATTATTTATACCATCAGCTAGCATTTTATATTTAAACACCAAGCAGGCAACAGAAATTACATCAATTTCGTAAATATTTAGGAACGTGTGGTTTGTCTAACGGAAATTTTTGGACACATTTCAAACAAAAATCACAGTATTGAAAATACTAGTTACACACTAGAGAGCATTTGAATATAATAGTTATTTATGCAATGAGTGTATAAATGAGGCGTTTTATTGGTGAGTGAGATGTTTAGTCCACGAGCGCAGCGAGTGGACTAAATTCGAACGAACCAATAATCGCCGATTTATACATGAATTGCATACAACGTTTTTTCGTCGACTTCACTGGGGTAGGTAATTTTAAATTCAACTACAAGAAATTACAAACTATATTTTAAAAACACGGATTCTAAGTACCTGTTGGGTAGGCAACACACCATACACATAAGGAACTGGTTACATACATTCCACTCGTTAACATTAATTTTCAAAGAAATTGTGGCATTGCTCTTACTTAATAATCTTGTATTTTATTGTCGTCACACAAGCAAAAAAAAATTTCAGTCCCACTGGAAGATAACAGCGCTTTGGATCTTATAAATCAAAACCACTGATGCACCTACATTTATGACCACTTTCCAAAAGTGGATTTGTTTACATATGAATGGATAAATGTAGGCATGTGTTAATGTCACACCAGATCTTGACTCAATAAACATAAATTTGTAAATGTGCACATGCAGCTTGTCAGTTAATAAAATAGTGTTGTACAAAGCAATAAAAATATTCTGCTAAACCAATTAGCCAGTTCTTTAAGCGTCCAATTAAATTTGTTTCCAAAATGTATGGCGGCATAAGGATTTGCATGCAATACTTGATGGAATCTCAATGTGTGTAGGTAAACTCCTACGACCGCTACCTTCATAAAAATTACTTTCAAATTCTTACATTCATAAAATTGTTCTAAAGTTCAGCTTAAATTCCCATATACGGAGGTCGCATTTACATAAACATGAAATCTTCAAGCTCATGCTAACAACCATAGTAAACTAAACCTTACCTTATCTCCCTGAAATGTGTGCGTTAACATACAAAATGTAATGTTAACCGACTCTTTCTATTGCGCTACCAAAAGAACTGGCTAACCATACAAGACACAGTGTAAGTCAAATTATGTCAGCTTACCTGGAAATGTAAAATAATTGTCCATATCAATCCTAAGGTGAGCTTGGGGTTGCCATCGACTATATCTTCGGAACGGATGTTAACTAATCTAATCTTTTTGCAGTGAAGAAAATGAAGGGCTGTATCGACGTTGTGAAGCATGTGGAAGCGCATGACACCTCTTTCCCTTGGCTGTAAGAAACATTACTTTTACCATTACCCATAGCTAAAAAATAGTAAAAATTGTGTTCTGAAATGACTACAAGAATGCGTGAAGACACAAGAATCTGGGAAACCTGCAGACCTTGGTTTCAAAGTCACATTTTGTAAATAAGTTACGTAACGATTTAAAAACGACAAAGGAAGCCCCCTGACAAATGTCAACGAGCTTTCCTGAGTAGACGATACGGTCTGAGAAATTGATGTTTCCTTTTGTCTGGCGCGCCTAATACAGATCTGCCCATTGCCATTCAAATATTGGCTAGTTCAAATTAATATGAAGTACATCAAACACGCTAGAATACTAATACACAATTTACATTTTGCTAGTAATAAATTATTAATATTCTGAATCAGACAAGGTCGCTTTAATCAATGAAAGTGTTTTAATTCTATGAATGAAGCGTGACGTATTCATTGACCATATGCGAAATCAACCCTAAGTATCAAAGCATCTGAATGATCCATTCATCGCTTCTTTTTTTAAATTTAAAATGAAATTTGAACAATTTACATTGATGCAATAGGTGGAAGTGAAATGAGACATTTTCATTTATGAAATAAACAATAGTAACAGATGGTTCAATATAAATCAAAATGACAAAATATTAAGACCAGAAAGTTTAGGACCACTAAACGTGTAATAAAAATTTGTGGAGTACTGCGCTCAAATCTACTGATCCAAACGAGGAAATGTTGCATACATTACGGACTGAAGTTGAATATATCAATTCAATACCGGTCACTCATGTATCGTTGAACCATGCTGACGAGGAAGCTTTCACGCCAAATCACATTCTTCTTGGCTTATCAGGTGGATCGCAACTGATTGTGAACACTGACCCGACCGATTTCTGCTCTCGTAAGCAATGGAGACTTGTTTTAGCTAACAAGTTTTGGCAACACTGGATTTAAGGAGTACTTTCCGACTTTAGTTAAAAGAAGAAAATGGTTTAAGGAAAAGGAAAAGGACTGATTGTCGTAATTCATCCCGGGAATGATGGAAAGGGTTGATGTGAAGACAGCTCAAGGAACTTTCAGACGTCCCGTGGTCAACTGTTGTGTCCTGGATGTGACTGGAAATGAACCTGGCGGTTGGCATCATTAAATACATAATTCTAAGTAAAATCAATCATGATTTCAAATTCAATAACAATATGATCGAAATTGTGTTCAATCTCAAATTAGCAACATCATTTAAGGTATATTTGCGGACGAGCATTTTTATACGTGGGTTAGCATGATACAAAGATTGAAATTGTTCACCATCCTGTTCGTGTCCTGCCATGTGGTGCATTTGGACGATTCTTAGACGAAACCGGCAAGAGTTTGCTTTACCAACTGCACCAAAAGGAAAGCACAAAGTTTAGTCCTATGCAGCAAGACACGGCATCAAATTTTTGGCTTTAAAAGGGGCCCTCCCACCATGAACTACTTCCACAGCAGAGATGCCGGTTTGGGAAGTAAGTCTTAACTTTACAAGATACAGAGAGCTAGAGAGAAAGATTCCCTGTGCCGATATCTTGGCAAAATCTGTGATAAATCGTGGATCGAAGAACTTCCTCTTCCAAATGAGATTTTACAGTCGCCGATATTACGATCAAGTCGTCTAAAGTAAATAAACAAGAAAAAATAAATCATCTATCCCCACCTTGAAACGATCCATCAGGCGCTAGAATGTAGACGGCGCATTGTTCCATATTTTCCAACGAAGACGCAGACTTAGTCTTCAAATAAATGAATGTAAAGGATAAGAGTAAGTGAATGATGCCGATAGGGAAGCGGAAGCATCAATTCTTCATCAGTTCTTATTTATATTATATTTTATGCTCGATAATATGTTAAGGGAAAGTATTATAACTTTATTGTGGTTGTGTAATAGTAAATGAATAGCATTTATCGAAAAATCCAGCAAAAAGACAAAAACCGTCATAAAGCCATTTCAGAACACATTTCTGTTTCTGGTTCTTGATATACTTACAAGTTGTTCGCCAGTTAACACCTCCAACAAGGAAATAAGGTTGTGTCCGCTTCGCAAATCTTCGAAAAGGTCTCTGATTTGTTGATTGGCCTGAAAAAAATAATAAGTTAATTATTGCTTCAAACTTAGTGAACAAAGTGCAAATTACTGTGCCACACAAATAATTCCAAGCAAATTTGGTTAATATTAGCCAAAAAACTACACAATCGGTTTCTTCCTTAATTACTAATACACCTCAATTCCAAAGTCACATGATTGATAATTTCTAATAATGTTGATGCTGGTTGTGATATGCGTGACTGCCAATGATATAGGTAATTAATCACGTCATCAGTAATTAAGGGCAACAGTTAATTATAAATATACATTGCTTATTAACATCACCAGATAATACAATACTCATCTACAGCATGCAACAAACTTCACACAGATCCAACTTACGGGTGGAGGACAACATGGGACGTTGTTGACGGTAACACACACGTGTAAACATGTGTACGTCTGTAATAATCAACGAAAAAAAGTTCAGTAAATCAGTTGCGGGTGTCATCTTTATGAGCTCACACGTTGAAGGTACGAAGTCAAAAAACAAAGCAAATTGTGGTCATACTTATAATCTCACTTCAAAACAGAACTACAGACAAGCATTCGATGCTAGGCTTATTTGGCATATTTCAAAATTCCAACCGGACAGGGAGAAAGCGCGAAAGTCCATAGGAATTGTTATTCCACATACTAAATCGCCCTAACTTTCAAAATTACACAAATCAGTGATTATGTAAGACATCCGAGTGCAAAAGGCGCACGAAAGTTTGAATAAAATGAATTTATAATTTTGTCAATGACTCAATTAACTAACGAAGAAGAGAAACCAACTAAATGTGGAGCAGTTTGATTTCTCCAATAGTTCAGAGGATACGTACAAGATATAAAAATAGAAAAGCTATTTGTAGTTAAGATGAAAGTGAAAACCAATACGTGCCTATTCTGACATTAACGTTAAGTAATTGACCTGAATATTAAACAAATAAGTTGGAAATTGTATAACCGTATCAAATAAAACGGTCTGCAGCCGTCGAGGAAATGCAAAATTAGAAACAATAAGAAAAAAAATAATGTGTGTTGCAGTTTCTATTTTAGAGTAAGAGCAATTGCATAGCACCGCGTCCGGCAAAATTAGACTCACTCCATATTTTAAATTACATCTGTTTATAAATAATACATAAGAGTGTGTCAGATAAAAAAGAAAAGAAGTACTTAAATGTCCATTTTAACGCATTTTTATGCTAACTCCTGATTTATATGGAATCGTAATTGAAACTCGTTCTTACGCCAGAAATGTCCAGCTATGAACATTTAGGTTAAGTATTTCTTAATCTCGATTAATTAATATATAATTTAATTCCATTTATAAATCGCCAATTACATAATTTGTCTGAAAAATATTAATTACGAGAAATTTTTCTATTAACATGGAAATGCCGGCCGAACTATTTATGAGCGACCAAATATGGCAAGTGTCTTTTGCATACAACATTAACCGAGAGACAACAAGTTTTATTGCGATCATTATGGCGACAGGTATGAATAATAAATACGTACGTATGTATGCAATAAAGCGTTTACTGCCAGATTTCACACCGAAAGAGCAATAAATGAAAGTAAGAATAATGGAATATAAACAATAATGTTATCAAAACACTATATTTTAACTCCGTATTGCGATTCGTAAGTTTCCGCCTTTTTGCAGAGAACAAAAACATTTCTACCAAATCCTTCACCCAATTTTATATGTAATTGTCATGCAATTATTGTAGAATTTAGAATATGAGAAACGTCCCTGATAGTGACTACCAGGGACGCATCCTCACGACAGTTGACTAAATCCTGGCAGAGGCGGCGATACCAGGCATATGTCAAAGTTTCAAGTCTTTTCTTTATCTAAGCATCCAATTCGTAGCAATAATATTTATAACTTCAGTTTTCCTAGTTTACTCCTTTTTTAGCACAAAACTTGTCAACACATGCAGAAATGAGCACTAAATGATTTGATAAGTTGCATGTCATTAAAAATAAAGGCATATTCGGATAATTGGGTTTTCACAGAGAAAAAATGTAATGGGATATTGGGAATACAGACCATGACATTGGTTTTTCGTGTCAACACAAACATGTAAAATTGGTAATTTGCATTTCCATAAAACCAAAAAATTAACAAAATATGGCATAGGATTGGTTTTTCGGGCCGATACAGGTGTAATATGTCTTATTTTCGACACAGTTATTCCGTAATCGTTAGTACTGCCAAAAAAAGTAATATAGGCCTAATGTGTTCTTTTTGAGTGAAATTTAAAGTCAAAATTAAAAAATTGCTGCTCACTTAAAAAATTGTCAATTTCAGAATGACCTCTTCCGAGTAAAAATAGATACTAAAAAAATGTTTTATACAAAAGAAACGTGATCGGACCTAATCTCATTTTTTTAATGGAACACCGTGTAGATTAACAGTGTTCAAAATGGGAAACCCTGTAAAATTGGAAATGATATGGTAAATTGCAAGCCTTCCACAAAATGATGGGATTTTTCGCTTAAAAAGAGAGAAAGAAAAAAATGATTTTTTAAGGCCACCTCGCATATCTAGAAGCCATTAAAGATGTAACACTTCATGTATCACTTTTGCTTTTTTGCTTTCGTTTAGAACTATCCAGAGATTACAGAACAATGACTTTTATTTTAATGCCAAATTTGAAATGTTAGGGCGATAAAATGGGACATAGTTGACAACGCCACTAGCGCTTAATCATTTTTCTGCACATGAAGGAAATAATCCAGGGTGTAGCACCTAAAATCTCTCGGATCATAATTCCTTTACCATAAAAAATGTAGGGACAAAATTGTGCAACAAGTACCATCGCCATGTTTCTAAAATACTTCTGGTCACCAGTCCAGTGGCGTATCAAACATACTGTAACGTGATTTATAAATTCGGGTTCGATTTACATCAATATTTATTAAACAACATTTATTAAACAACATTTATTAAACAACATGTTATTAAAGCTTCAGTCCACTTTGTGAAATAATCCATAGCCACTAGGATATATTTGTTTCCGCCAGCTGTCTCGGGAAACGGTCCTGCGATATCGATAGCAACTCGTTCCATCGGACTACCAACGTTATACTGCCTCATGGGCGCCTTCTTCTTGGAAACTGGTCCGTTTCCAGTAGCACATAACTCACATTTTCGACACCATCGGTGGACATCTTCTTTACGGTTGACCCAATAGAATCGCTCACGTACCCTTTGCAACGTTTTCGTAATACCAAAGTGTCCTCCGGAAGCGCCGTCATGCAATTTTCGCAATACTTCCGACACTTTGCTTCTAGGTACTACTAATTGCAGCGTCGATTCGGTGCCATCTTCACTTTCAAGGGTCCTATACAACAGGTTGTCTTTCAGAGTCAGGCTATTCCATTGGCCCCAATAACTCTTTACTTCAGGACTTGTGGCACTAATGTCTTGCCAGTCTGGTCTTTGTCCGTGGCGCATCCAATTCAGGACAGTTTTTATACTTGGGTCGTTTTCTTGGGCCGTTTTGATTTCGCTTGGCTTCCACTCCTCACTCTCTACAGTTGTTCGTCGCAGATGGCCAATCTTGTCTTCTATTTTAGAACAATGTGTGCAGTTGTCCTTGCACGGTCTTCTTGACAAAGCGTCTGCATTATTGTGAACTTTTCCAGCCCTGTGTTCAATGTCGTAGTCATATTCCTGAAGACGTTCTAACCATCTTGCCACCTGTCCTTCTGGGTTTCGGAACTGCAAGCGCCACTTTAGCGCTGCATGATCTGTCCTTATCAGGAACTTGCGGCCGTAAAGGTACTTATGGAAATGTTCGCATGCCTTTTTACCACACCCAGGAGCTCTCGCCTAGTCACACAATAATTCCTCTCGGGTTTCGACAGTACTTTGCTGAAATAGACAATGAGTCTTTCCTGTCCGTCTTGCAATTGAGAGAGAACAGCTCCAATGGCGGTGTTACTGGCATCGGTATCTAGCACAAACTTTCCTTCATTTCTGGGGTAGCCAAGGATAGGTGCGCTAGTAAGAGCTTGCCGGAGATGTTCGAAAGCTCTTTGACAGTCTTCACTCCATTCGTACTCATTGCCCTCTTCTGTCAACTTTATTAATGGTTTGGCAATGTTGGCAAATCCTTTCACGAATCGTCTATAATAGGTGCACAAACCGAGGAAACTTCGAATCTCGTGCTTGTTCTCAGGAATCGGCCACTCTTGAATCGCTATAATCTTCTCTGGGTCAGCTGTAACACCATCACAAGATACGATGTGCCCCAAATATTTAACTTCATTTTGGAACATAAAGCATTTCTTGGGACTTAGTTTTAAATTGGCCTCTCGTAATCGTCCAAACACCTCTCTCAGGTTCTTTAGGTGTTCTTCAAAAGTTTTTCCTACGACAATTACATCATCCAAATATACCAGACATGTCTGCCACGTTAGTCCCCTTAGAACTGCTTCCATAAGTCTCTCAAACGTCGCGGGAGCATTACACAATCCGAAAGGCATTACTGTGAATTGCCAAAGTCCAGAGCCTATAGAAAACGCGGTCTTCTCTCGGTCTGTCGATTCCATCCCCACTTGCCAATAACCACTCTTTAGGTCGAGTGTGGAAAACCATTGGGCTCCAGATAGAGTGTCCAAGGTGTCGTCTATTCTCGGCAGTGGATAGCTATCTTTCTTGGTGACCGAATTTAACAGACGGTAGTCAACGCAAAATCTTGTGGAGCCATCCTTCTTCTTTACAAGCACTACCGGTGATGACCAAGGACTATTCGATGGCTCGATGACACCTTGTTTTCTCATGTCTCTAATAATCTCCTCCGCTTCGTCTCGTTTAGCCAATGGGAGTCGCCTTGGCTGTTGTCTAATCGGTTGGGAATTGCCAGTATTTATTTTATGGGTGACTATGCTTGTCTTTCCCTTGTCCTGGTCGTTTACCGCGAACACATCCCGGAATTCCACAAGCATATTTTTCACCTTTTGTCGTTGTCTATTGTCCAAATCTGGGGTGTTTTTAATGACCATATCTATCAGCTCTCTTGGATACTTTCCTTTAGATAGATTTTCCGATCTCACAGAGCGAATAGCCGAGATGGGCACACACTGTCCAACTACAGTTCGTTTGCTTAGCTTAACAGGACTATCTTTCAAATTCATAATTCGAATCGGAACGCCATTTTGAACTTTTACCAGAGCCCTAGCCACTAGAAATTCCTTTTCGTTTAGTGCTTCGACTATCCGTAGGCTTCCCTGGCGACAATATCCATCTAAAGTGGTCATTATAATTTTTTCACTAAGTCCGGGTATAATGACGTCATGAGTGGTTAACAGGCGGATGACATCTTCTTTGTCTTCATGGAAAGGGAGTTCTTCATCGCCGACCTTTAACACGCCTTTTTTCACGTCTAACACAGCCCCGAGTT